GATGGATGGATGGATGGATGGATGGATGGATGGATGGATGGATGGATGGATGGATGGATGGATGGATGGATGGATGGATGGATGGATGGATGGATGGATGGATGGATGGATGGATGGATGGATGGATGGATGGATGGATGGATGGATGGATGGATGGATGGATGGATGGATGGATGGATGGATGGATGGATGGATGGATGGATAGATGGATAGATAGATGGATGGATGGATAGATAGATAGATAGATGATGGATGGATAAAATACTCTATTTAAGGATCACAGTGCAGCCCCTAAAAACAAATTCATTGTCATTTTAAATCTTTACCAATCTTTGCCACTATCCTTCAAACCACTAGGTTTTACCCATTTATCAGCTAGAAGTTTTTAATCATTTAAAATATAATACAATTTAGTGTGATCACTTTTTCTTTTGTATATTTTAATAAGTACAGGTCATGTTCTTAGTATGTTGTTTAATTTTTACGTGAATACATCTGTTACACTGAATGATGATGGAACATTATTTCACCCACATTTTAACATTTTATTTTCACAAAAGTTATTTGAAACATTAAATGTAGGCATTTAATATGCGTTCTATGTATATAAAATCACTTAATTTGATGGGGACACCAAAATATATAATTAGTTCTACACATTGTGCTATGTGTATATATGGTACTCTATGCCATTTAAATACTTTATTTATATAATCATTGTTAACCTGTTTTCTTCTTTAAATCAAACTACATTCCTGTTTTGCTGATTGTAATGTCTCCTGTGCTGTAGGTGGCGCTCTCATTTCTTCAGCTGGGGTTATGGGCGTCTGCTGTCTCTGCTGATCCGCCTGCCTGCTGATCTGGCCTCCAAACAGAAGATGCTGGAGATGTGCAGAACTCATGGGTGAGTGTAGAGTTGGAATGGATAGAATTGAATCAGAATGTATAGTTGGGTACACTGTGACTGTGTTATTTGTCTCTCAGGTATTGGATGGGTTACCTGTACCTGTGCAGAGAGCTGCAGCGGAGGCCCGAGGCTTTCAGTGCCATCTGCAGACTGGACGACATGACACTACTAGAGGGGGATGATGGTACAACAATCACAGATGTTCAAAACTCTCAATATAGACTCTCTTAATTCGCTGATTTTAACCAAGAACCTCCTACTCAGACAGGAAGAGACTTTCTGACTGACACTTAAAGAGATAGTTCACCCAAAAATGAAAATGACCCCATGCTTTGCTCACCCTCAAGCCATCCTAAAGTATATGACTTTCTTCTTTCAGACGAATACAATCGGAGTTATATTTAAAAACGTCCTGGCTCTTCCAAGCTTTGTAATTGTAGTGAATGGGTGTTATTTTTTAATAATCCAAAAGAAGTCCAATAAAGCGCATCCATCCATAATAAAAAGTGCCTCACACGGCTCCGGGGGGTGAATAAAGGCCTCCTGTAGCAAATCGATGCATTTTGTAAGAAAAAAATCCATATTTAAAACGTTATAACCACTTTTCTGTAGCTTGTGGGATACTTTTTTATGATGGATGGATGGATGCACTTTATTGGACTTCATTTGGACTGTTGAACAGAAACACCCATTCACTGCCATTACACTTAAAGAGATAGTTCACCCAAAAATGAAAATGACCCCATGCTTTGCTCACCCTCAAGCCATCCTAAAGTATATGACTTTCTTCTTTCAGACGAATACAATCGGAGTTATATTTAAAAACGTCCTGGCTCTTCCAAGCTTTGTAATTGTAGTGAATGGGTGTTATTTTTTAATAATCCAAAAGAAGTCCAATAAAGCGCATCCATCCATAATAAAAAGTGCCTCACACGGCTCCGGGGGGTGAATAAAGGCCTCCTGTAGCAAATCGATGCATTTTGTAAGAAAAAATCCATATTTAAAACGTTATAACCACTTTTCTGTAGCTTGTGGGATACTTTTTTATGATGGATGGATGGATGCACTTTATTGGACTTCCATTTGGACTGTTGAACAGAAACACCCATTCACTGCCATTACAAAGCTTGGAAGAGCCAGGACAGTTTTTAATATAACTCCGATTGGATTTGTCTGAAAGATGAAAGTCATATACAACTAGGATGGCTTGAGGGTGAGTAAATCATGGGGTAATTAAAATTTTTGGGTGAACTATCCCTTTAAAGACCTGTGGAGTTATTCCATGTTTATGATCTCTCTCTCTCTCTCTCTCTCTCTCTCTCTCTCTCTCTCTCTCTTT